GCGGTCTGGAATATACCTTACCACATAGATTAATATCCTAAAACGGTTTCCACTTAAACAATTAGATCTAATCCACCTGCAGGCTATTCAGTTATAGTACTGGTTTTGGGGACCTAAAAAGATGTTATGACACTCAATTTTTCTTGTTTCCCATGGTTTCTGAAAATGGGGTCGCCTTATATTCGAGATCGCCCAATAATCGTGCTAATACTGTATTTATTTTTGATTATTTTGTTTCATTGTTTTTTTTTTTGGTTTGTTTGTTTTTAGCGCAAAGCTACACAATGTGCTAACTGCACTCTGTCCACCATGGGTAATCTAACCCCTGATTTTAGCTTTGCAAACTTACAGCTGTCTCGCCGTGGGACTTGATGGCTTTAAATCGTCTAAATTATACTAAGCGCAATTCACACAGTGATTAAGCACATTCGAAGTTCTCTTCTAATACATAAACTATTTTTAGTGCGTTTTTTGTTGTTATAGAATAAGTTAATATTCTTATTGGGATCAAGAAAATCCTAGCTATTGTTATAAACTGATTTGTATATTTGAGGCTTCTGAAAATATATTTACTGAACATTTGTATTAAAGAAACTGTCGTTTTATCTATGCTGTTTGTGTTACATTCATTTGTAAATAGGAAAATACCCCTAATCCATGGTAAGAATAAGTATAGTATTTGATATTGTAAGACGGCTTCGTTAAATTTGTTGAAACTTTGTGTATGTGATTACATTTATACCTACGTGGGTTCACTGAAAGGCAAATAATTCAGAAATTGAGAGGTATAATAAATTAATTGTATGTGGTATGAAATTAGGTGTTGTGGGGCTAACATGTGACAATATAATTGAGGTCATTAAAGGGCATGTCCTTCGTAAATTTCATTAATATGTAGCATACACCAAAAAATGTCAGTGGCAACGGTATAGACATTAACAAGTGAAATAGTTTAAGCCAAAAATTACTAAAATTGCCCCTCAAGAGTAACAGTTTTATGAATAAATGCACATGTTCCATGTTTATGGAACTTGTGCTGCAGAAAATCGAAATTCGACCATAGCAAATGTTGTTACAGGAATCTAGAGCGCAAAGTCAGAATTTTATGCTACAGCGGCTGCGGCCATAATCATCTAAATAATGGCACAGTATTCAGGTTACATGGTCCTTCTGTATGGAGAATGCCACCAGAATGCCTGAGCTGCTACCAGGTTTTGTATTGAATGATTTCCAGATGATCCCATCAGATAATAAGAAATTTGTGTCAGTGGCTGTGTACTACAGGCTCATTTTAGCATATACAACGTACGTACAGATCAAGAACAATAACCAGTATTGACAATGAAGATGATACATTGGCACTTGTCATACTTTGGCGGGGTTTTGAACACAGAAATTAATTGTTTGCTTCCATTTCGTAATACTACCTCACCTGCAGTTACAGCTATAATTGTTCTTATACTATTAATAAACGACCTTATAACACCAAATTTGTAAATTTTTTCTAATTGGATACTCAACGTTTCGCTTTACAGCTTCTTCAAGAGGGTTTCACTAAGACACAAAGGTTGTTTATTACTAGTATTAAGATGTCTTTTATACATCAATATGCAATACAGAAATTATATAACTGTTCTTTTTGTGGAGCGCTTTTGGTAATGCACAGTTTATAGTGTTTAACTTGTTGTCTTACATCTTTGTCACTGACATTTTGAGTGTATGAAGCATATTAATAAAAACGTTTCGAAGGTCATATGACCTTGAACGACCTCAAAAATACTGTCAACTGGTAGGTCCATACCACTGTGCTTCTCCCTTTCTAAATTATTTGTTTGCCAATAGATTTCTGAAAAACCTGGTATATATATATATTACTTAAGTTTGGTATGGAGATTAACATATTCTTGCTTCAGTTACATTTATGATGGTAACGTTGTACGTCTAAAATTGCATGACAATTTTTATAACCTTTAGATTTTACACGCAGATAATAAAAGACATAACATGAACAATAAAAAAATAAGTTGATTAGTTCTTCTAGAGAGAGGTATCGGCGTGTATATTGACTACCACAAGGAACCATGTTTTTACCGTTTGAACATCCACAAGATACCACAAGGAACTATGTTTTTATAGTTAGAACATCCGAAAGACCGTGTTGTCATGGGTGATCTATCACTTATCAGCACGATACCTCTCAGGTTTACATAATATACAACGTAATGACGCTTTAATAAAGAATATTTTTTTAATTTGTTAAAAAAAAAACAATGAATAAATAATTATCCTTATTACAACGAAACTCTAGGTGGCACAATGGTTTCACCATGTGATCTTACCTTTAGGCAAATCACTGATGACATTTTAATTTGGCGCTCGAAATCCTATAGTTGTTCCTGTAATAACTGTTATCGTTCTCGACTGTGGTTGATGTTCTTTGTTTGTGAGGCCATTATAAATGGTTTAATTAACTAAACGACTAGAAGGTATGTTTTGGTTCGTAACCCCTGTCCCTGAGAATATTCTCCCTGGTCTAAATCTGTATTCAAGACGTCGGTTCGTGTTTGTTTATTATAACCGCTAGGTGGCTTGATGTGTAGTTTCCTTGTGATTATTTCACACTGTGGGACAAAGGTTCTACTCGCTTGGGAATTAAACGTTTTTTACTACAACAATCCAAGAAGACAATTATGTGTTATTTAAAACAGAAAAAAAAAGCACATGGCTAAGTTATTAAAGAGAATTATAGCGTTAAAGTGAGAAATGTAAGAAAGAAGAAACAGAAAGAGATTTACATGCCTAGTGTATCGTCTGTGCGTAATTTAGTATTTATGAACCCCGTATCCTGTTCACTATTTCTATTAAACAACAGCGAACTATGTAGTTAATGTTGCGTGTGCGTGTTGTTTTTAACACTAGAGAATTATACAGTCTCACATTATGCAAGAGCTACAGGTAAATCTCACAAATCCTATTTTACGAACAATAAGAAAAACTACTTCGTCACATTGATTAAAACCTAACCTGTACCAGTTAAAAGTTATGAGAAGAACCTTTGTCCCAAATGTAATATAATAACGATGAACTTACGTAGCAGACCACTAGTTAGTTTTAGATATTGAGGCTTTAGTGCACCCGTGAAAGGGCGTTCTGCCCAATAGTTTGTAGAGATAGATATATGTTTCCAAGTTAGTGATATTAAGATTGACTTACACATTACTTAGTGAATCACATTAAATACAGACTTTTTCTAAGTAAGTTATAAACCAGGTGTTCTTTATAAGGACTGTTTGTAGGATTCATATTGAGCTCAATGCTATTTAGTGAATCACATTCAATATACACCTCTATTATGTAAGCTGTAAACAATGTGTGAAGTGCTTATAACGGCTGTTTGTACGATACAGTTTGAGTTTAACAGTATTTAGTGGGTCACAATGAATACACACCTCTACTGTGTAAACTATAAACAAGGTGTGAGATCCTTATAAGGGCTATTTGTAGAATCCAGACTGAGCTTAACACTACTTAGTTAACCATACTTGATATACACCTCTACTGTATACACTGTAAACATTTATTCACAAGTAACAAGTTATCAGTACATACGTACGCTGTGCTTTTTACAAATGAAGCTTAGATTATCTTCTCTCTCAGGTGAATTAAAGGTAAAAGTTAAGGAGAGATGTAACTATTTGTCAAAGTAATGTGCTTATTCTTCTTAATATTATATATAGTAGTAGTATTTAGTAAGTAGGTTGAATAATATGGGTATTGGGCTAAGGATTCTTCTACAGTAAGTGTCTGTGACTTGTTGGCGATAAATTTAAAAATAAACGAACAGGACGCACTCCACTTGTTTTCAAAATAATATATATATATATATATATATACATTCGAACTAGTTAAACGTATGTACAACAAATTCTTTACACTATAGAGATGATAGACATATAATAAATACTATATATAGTTATCTTCTTCTTGTCAAAAGTCCACTTAGGCCTATTCAATTGCTTTAGAATTTCAGTTGACAAGCCAAGCTACCTTTATCAATTTTTATCGCACTAGTATTCCGTGTATGATTCACTTACAATTATAGTGTGAGTTACCATAGTTGTTTACTGCTCTTCCAGTAATCGACTGGTCCTCGTACTTCGGATATCGCCTGTTCCTTTGTCAAAGTGCACTTAGGCTGGTTCAATTACTCTAGAACTCGTTCTGACGGAATAAACTATACTTTTTATCTCTTTTAAAACTGTTAGTTTTCCTCTACATTTTAATCGTTAGGCCTTCCACTCCTACGGCAAGTAACTTTACTTTTCTTTGGTAGAAAATTAGAGAAGTTACTTCTACTTCTCGTCACTTTACTTTCTCCTCTGCTCTGTCTGTCTGCTGTTCTCGCTCGTCTCACACTATTTATATATTTATCACTTAATCGTCTGCTCGCATTCTAGAAATCTCCATATCCTCAACATCAGTAAATTTCACCCGACGTTCGATAGCTTCAATATCAATGAATTATAAACACAACGTACCATTCTTACCGAGTTACGTAACTAAATTTGTCATAACGTTTGCTTTAAAATAATTGCTTTTAATTCTCTTGTTATGAAAAAACTAAACAATCATAAAATATTCACTCACAAAAAAAATCAATTAATAATACCTACACTAAACAGTTTTTATATCATGACATTATTTTACCACTTAATTTGTGTCTTTAGCGACAGAATAATAATTTATAATAGAATGAATCCATGCCTTAATTGATAAAATAATCTATTTAAAATTTCGTAAATCAGATTGTTTTCATTGGTAATCCTAATTGTTTTTCATTGTTAATTTAAATTGTTTTATAGGTTAATCCAAACTGTTTTGATTGTTAAGTCAGTTCTTTTTATTTGTTAACCCGTATTGTTAATCTGGAAACCTCCTATCATCACAGTCTTGTATTAGTTGCAGTTTGATTTATTAACTTGTTTTCTTTATTTCAAAAGAGAGAAATACGTCGGAGTCGACATCTTCACCTCATTGTAAGAAGAACCGCGATTCTGGTAAGACTTCACTTCTCCATAATTTTCATCATCTGAATATAATGCAATAATGTATCCCATTTCCTCCTTTGTTTTAACAATTGTTGGTTTAGAAACGTCAAAAGCATAAACAAAGTGGTTATTACAGAAAGCAACTTGTATTTGTAAACTAATATAAGCATTGTTAAATATATAAATGTAATATTTTAATGAAAAATTATTATTTTTATTAATATAGAAAAATGTTCGACTTTACCACATGGTGGTCGAAACGAATGTTCTGTTACATCAAGTCGAGGTAAAATGTTTCTTCTTCTTTGCTGTAATAATAATACTACTTGTGATAATTAGTCACAGTATACATTGTTATTATGATCATCAGTGTCACTTTTTTTCTTATGTGCATTACAACCTACTTAAATATATATATATATACCAAAAAACAAAAAATGAGAAATGACGAGGGTTACATTTTGCTCTATTGCTACTATATAAAACAACTCCAATCAATATTTTTGACTCAAAGTTACGAAGTGACTATATTGTTTCATGTACGACCCAAGTGAATCTTCTAGGTCTCTTCTTTTGAAATCGACTTCTAAAGTTATAAAAATTGTTTATAAATACACATTTAAATGTTAAGGGAATTCCTTCTGAATTTTAGAGTACAGAATGGTTTAATCTTCAAACTACCAGCGTGACCAACCCAGTATTGTTCTTAATTATCCAGTAAAGAAGAGAACAAGATTAGACTTTACAGACATCATCTATTTTTTTCAAATATAAAATCTTAAGTTAAAGTTTGTTTTGCTTTTGTCATGTCAGAAACACATCATTGACAAAAAATAGCACTTTTCATGCATCGAACAAGTAACGAGAGTAATTGCTTAAAGTTATATACATTTATATATACAGTTTTGTCTTTGTTAATTTTAATTAGTTAATTTACTTAATAAGTGCAATGGTTCTATAATATTCAGTGTCATTTGCTTTCAAAATAATCAGAAGCATAATATTATGTTTGTGTGATACAACTTCTAAAGAATACAAAATAATAATATGTTTGAAAAATATTTATGTATTTATTTTTGAAAGAGTAGGTGCAAATAAATAGTGACACTTAAATTAATTTTTATGTAGTAATTCTTAAGCTTTGTGTTTTAGCGAGGCCCTCACAAGTGAATCACAAATTACAAAATTAAACCATGGATGATACAAAAAAAGATACAAAAAAAATTGAAACTACAGTACATTCTGTAATACTGTCAACCGTTTTATATTTATTACTTGTGTCACAAATATTTTCTTGCTTATATGTCTTGTGGTATGTTTTAGCTCTTTCACCTGTTAAACCTACCCGGACGCCTTCGCCATGTGGATTAAGAAATAAACCAGTTTGTGAGCCTTCATCACCTAGTTCTTCTAAGCCATTAGTTTCATTTCAACGGGTACAAAAAGCTGACATCACTCCAACAAAATGTCCAAATAATGTGCCGGAGCACAAAGAGCGAATTTCCCGCACGATCCACAGAAGTGAAAATTTTATAAACTTGGCTAAACAGAAAAAGGCCATTGAAAGTACCGGTCCAGCACCTAGCGCCACCTCTCGAGTGAAGTCTGATAAAGATTCTGGCAAGTCAAAGTGTACGTCTGTGCTTGAAGTAAGGTTTTCTCCATCAAAAATGGTACCCATAAGTAAAACAAATGATTTTTCTTCGCAAACTCGTTCAAAGATTTCCACTGTTGCTCTGAATAAGGTGTCAGTGAGAGGACCTGTTCCGTCCAATAAATCCTCAAGCATTTCTGTCACGCCAAAAATATATACAAACAATATGTCCACTTCTAGTAATTCAGATAATAGTTCTGTGTCATTCAGCAAATCATCGCCTTTGGGGCCATCTAATAAAATAACGAAGCCAACAGTGAAACTAAAAACGTTGCATCCTTCTACTGGAACTTTATCAAAACCATTGACTACTTCTTCATCGAGAAAACCACAATCAATTCCCATTATAACGAATACCCCCAAACATTCTGATGCACAAAACAAGTCTAAAACTTTTTTAAATTCCAGCAAACCATGCTCTTCTGTGGCTTCAGAAAAACTAGGTATTCCTCAGAAGACGAAAAAACCTTCTGGAAACTTCCAACAATCAGCAACTTCTGCTATTAAACCGACCACTACTTCAACAATCATGCATTTAGCAAGGACAAAAAATGTTTTCCCTGCAGAATGTAGGGAAAAATCATCTCATTCTAACTTAAATACTTCTAGGCTACAGAAACCTGAAGAAAATGATTCAATCAGCAATCCACAGATTACCAAATTTGCTTCATTAGGTAACGCTTCCTCACGTAAACCTTCAAACACAATGCATATTAACGAAAAGAATGCAACTGACTTCGCTACGGTCAAAGTACCCAAAAATATAGATATCCTGCAAAGTTCAGCTAATCTTTCATTGGATGATTCTTCAAAATGCTTAAATGAAAGAAAAAATGTTTCTGTAGACCATATCAATAATATTGAAAATAGAAAGAAATCAAGTGTTTCTTTTTCAATAATACCCGAAAAAACTTTGGTGGACAGAAAAAACATCCAAGAATCTTCTGGTGCAACAGAATTAGCAAAACATTTCAACTTTGGTCCCACTTCTTCGGTTGAATCAAAAGCAAACACAAAAGGTTCATATAATTTTCAAGTTGAAGATTCAGGGAGAATGAAAAACAAGCTAAATTCATCTGAATCTACTTCAGATGAAATTTCAAAAAATATAACAAATAAACGTAACGAAAATGACTCTGCTTCGGTTGATTTTACAAAATCGAAAACAGCAGTATATGAGTTACGAAACTGTTTGTCAGATGAATCCGTAAGAATGAGAACGGATAAATACAACTTGCATGACTTTTCATTAGATGAATTTGTGAAAATGAAAACAGACAACAACAAACCTATCTTGCGTAACTCTTTATCAAGTGAATGTATAGAAGTAAGCGCAAATAAACTCAACTTGCATGATCCTGTACTAGATAAGCCTGTTAAAAAAGCAGCTGAAAACAAGTGTAACGCCTACAACTTTTCCTTTGACTTGGAAATTGAAAATAAACCCAATTTACCAAATTCTTCTGTAAAAGAATCGTCAAAAACAATAGAAAGCAAGCAGGGTTTGCATGAATCGTCTTTAGAGGTGCCAGAATTAAAGCCTCTTCTTGATGACAGAAACACAACCATCGAACACGATCCTGAATCCAAGCCTAACCGCAAAATGACAAATTCTTCCTCACCATTAACTAATGACTTGGTTTCGATCTCTTCTTCGGGAGTCAAAAATATAGTATCAGGTACCTCACCTTCCAATAAGAATAGCATCAATAAATCTAAAGGATCACCCAAGGTCCCTTCCACGTTACCAACAACTTCCTGGCTGATGTCCGGGCCTTCAAAATCTTTTTCACAATCAACGTCTTCCATCCCTAACTATTGTAAGAGTTTTTCTGTATCTGCTCCAGCAACACCAGTATGTGAGAATTGGAGTTTTCCTGGTCAAAGCGAGGTTAGCGAGATCAGCGTCGCACATCCGAGTGTACTCACCAAACACTCCTCTCAACACAGCATTCGAAGACGTCCTAAAGCTCCCGAATTTCTTCTCCCTCCAAGGAGCAAAGTAGTCAACGAGGGAGAAGGTGTGAGGTTTCTTTGTTCTGCTGTAGGGTGTCCAGAACCAACAGTGGTCTGGCAGTATAATGGAAGAGATCTTAGCTCAGGAGATAGCATTACTGTCTCCCAAAAAGAGAGTCTCCACACCTTGGAGATCCGCCCAGTAAAAGCTCAAGATGCTGGAAAATACGTTGTAAAATTAAAGAATTCGTTGGGAACGGCAGAAGCATTTGCATATTTGGAAGTTAGGGGTAAGAAAAACTGATACAATACGTTTCTATACGTTTGTTAGATGATATTATTTCGAAATTAACGGTAAAAAGCTATGCAAGTAAATATAATCTTCTGTAGGTTTGTTAGATGTCACTTTTGTCACGGTTTTTAGTTCTTTGTGATATATATTTTGATCTTTTGTTCAGGCAAAGTCAATTATATCACGATTACATAAAATACTCTAATGTGCTTAGATTTTTGAGTTAAAACTAAGTCAATCAAAATCAACTTGATGAATTTCAATAGTAAAAAAAAAAAAAGATAATATTGATCGATAGATGGATAGGCAAGTTTGAGTAACATCTGCTCTGCTGTTTTAAATGAAACATTTGTCAGCTCTTTGCCATATAACATAACTTGCCATACTACTATTATTTTGTGAATAAGATTGGACAACTATTTCGTTATTTTCTAAATCGTTTTTGTCGATTGTTCACATCCATGCATTAGAAGTTATGTAGCCTTATGCGTAAACCATTCCCCCCTCACGCACACAGGCTGGTAATATTTCATAGAGCAATCTGAGCCTGCCTCATTAATCTGATATAGGAGTTGTCATAAATTTTCGCCATGGATGCAGAAGACGGAGCGAAACCATTGCTTATTCTAAGCAAGTTCTGTAAGGAGTTTTTTTGTTCCAACCGGAGAACTTTCACGTGTACGTGTTATTTACGAAGATAAAATTGTAAGTATCTTTACGAGACAGTTTACTGCCTTTCTCGATATTGTAATACTGCTCATACCAGGAGAGTGAAAGGAAGGGCGGACTCGTATTATATCTCACAATGGTTCGTAATTTTTTAAATATTGATTAGTTGTCTCGACCGGTTCGATTAAACAACACTTCGCATTTCGAAATCTTTAGTATCAAGCCAAACTAATCGATATACTGCAATGTAACCAAATTATATATTTCAATTATTCAACGAAATTACCCTAATGTCATGGTACGACACCCCCAATTTTTTTTTATTAGTCGTCCAATTCATTTTACTAAATCATTCTACCATTGTGTTAAAAAAATAGAACCTTAAATATCAAATGAAATCACTATGCTATGATAGAAAAATATTTGTTTAGATTTCAAATATCCACATTATTCACGCTACAAGAAATTAAAAACACTTTAGAATCTCGGATGTTAAATAAAATCATTATGGTAATCTAACAACACTCATTAAAATCTTACTATATACTCAATCGTTTTTTTTTAAAGCGTAACAAACCGTTTTCGATTATTAAAATCCAATCATATCAGTCTACTAATAACTGCAAAGTCTTCACTATCCAGTCACATTTGTGTACTAAAAACAGAAAAGTCTTCACTATATGATCACACCAGTCTACTAATAACTGCAAAGTCTTCACTATCCAGTCACATTTGTGTACTAAAAACAGAAAAGTCTTCACTATATGATCACACCAGTATTCACTTTATAATCAAACCAGCCTGCTAAAAACAGAAAACTCTTCCCTATATAATCACAACAGTTTACTAAAAACAGAAAAGTCTTCACTA